TGGTTCTACTGTAGTTAGTTACTAAGAATAGTTCGATTCCCTATATTTTATTATTACAAGTGTGAAAATCTGGTACGAAATGTAATTTCCAATAACATTACGAATTTAACAATAGTCGTATTCTAATTTATGTTATTTTAGGTATGAAATCATTTTTTTTTTTAATTATTTTTCTAGTAACTTCAATATTAATCACATGGAATGGCGTAGCTACTAATTTTATCGAATATTAGCATTTAATTGGTAGTTTTCACCTTTTATTGCGGGTTTGAATCTTCTCAATCGAATATGTCAATTCCTAGTTTAATACTTAAAACACATTTAAATGACTGAATTGTTGAAAAAACAAAATCAAATGGATCTATATTTTGAAATAGTTAATGTTATTACTTGTTTTATTGTGTCTTGGCAAGAAACGTTGAATATAATACAGACGAGTTAGTAATTGCAGATTCTTCGACAATGCATTTTACGCTAGAGTGGGAGGAGTGAGCACGACAGAATTGAACAAGTTAGAGATCAAGTTTTTATTCGGCGTGGATTTCCGACTACATGTTAATGTACAGACATTTAGGAAGTATTGTTCCTTGTTGAAAAAGCAAGCAAACGACGGAATTATCGAGCGCCCTCTTATACATTCATATTCAATCGAAGAGAGCTGCACTAAAAACGATGACTCCGTTTTGTCCTCATTCCGTTTCAGATGATGAAAAGATTCTTTGCAAGACAATATCGAGAAATATTACATATTATGATCACTCAATCGATCTTTCTCTTTCTCTCTCTCTCTCGTGTTGTATAACTACATAGGTTTTTCATTGTTGTATCGATAGTCATTCAATAGTTGTCTTTTTTTTACGGCGTCTGTTTTGTATGGATGGTTAGTTCTCAGGCTCGTTGTGTATTGATGACTGTCGATAGAAGTAGAACGTGGATCCGTTTATTCGCGTATTCTTTCATTGACATTTTCTAAGATTTCGTCGTTGTATTAGACTTCTGTGTTAAAGTGGATGAATTCTTTTTCAGTTAGAGGAGTACTCTACATTTATTTAGAAACAGATACTCGGCGAGTTTTAAAAATAATTGTCGTTTTGAGTCACTACGTACGTATTATGAAAATTAATGAATATGCATGAATTTTAGAGAAAAACATATATAATTTGACTAAAATGTCCGTGTCATCAATTTTATTTCCATTAACTCGTTGATAAAAAAAAAACAATAAATAATGTGTCACTTGAATTCTAAAGTAACAGATAATACCGAACAAAAACCCGAGTTGTATTAGGAATGGAATATTTCAAGAGAAAAAATTCGTGACAAAATCAACAAACTTATTTAAAATAAATTTTATTTCTCAATAAAATTTATTTTCTCCAACACATGTTAATTAAAATCCCCCCATATCATCTTAATGATCACATGTTTCACAATGTACAACAAAACATTAAAAAAAAATTAATAATAATAATCCTTCTTAATTAGCATCCACCCCTTTACAAATGGCATAATTTCGATGCTACATATTACGGCTTGCAGTCCACAAAAAATGACCGCGTAAATCTATTATCGGCTACCTAGGTCGGTCAGTTTCACCATATCGAACATTTCATGCCAAGACCATTGCATGTTAGAATAAGGCTTTTGTAGCGATCCAGATACTCCTGCATGTAATAAAATCAATGCCTTTGTCATCAAGATCCATCCCCTTTATTTTTTTTAACCACGTCGTTTCAAAATGCGAAATTTACCAACTCACCGTTATGTTGCTGTCGTACGAATAAAGCATCCCTTTCTTGTCGTATTCGTGCCGTTTTGCAGGATCGCTCAACACTGTTCCCAACACAGTTGAGGAAAAAAAATTCAATGTAAGTCGCGTTTTATTACTACATATATACAAAGTTGAGACAACAGGCTGTTGACTTAACGATAAGGCTCAAGTATTTGAATTTATCTCGAAAAATTAAAGATCTTTACATGCACCGACTGATTACTAAATCGATCATTATTACATCTATTGGCTAATTACAATTGCCATCTGTCACCAGTAAAGAATTTACAGTAGAACATCTAATATGGTTAAATTAGTTATGTTCCGACTTACCCTACGCATTCACAACAAGGCTATTATCTATATATCCCGACGTGCAAAAAAGTACACTTGATATAAGGTTCGAATATGCAACAGGTACCATGATTCGGACACGATTCTTACCACATGCTTTTCTTAATGTTGGTTCGAAGTTTTTTTGGGCCGATGTTTCCTATTTTTCTAGGCTTCGAAAAAACCATATTTTTTAGGCATGTAAAGAAACATAATTCATTAGGGTTTTTGCCTAGTCGAATTCTCTGGCATTCGTCAAAGCTTGACGTCGGTTATTCAAATTGACTCCCTCAATAATAGTTGAAATTATAATTCTAAATTCCCAACTAACAATTTACCAGCAACAAAAATTAAAAAAATAATAATAATAAATTCCCAAATTACCCTGATAAGCTTCATTGATATCTTGAAATTTTGAAGTGGCGGCGTCTTCATCCTTCTGTTTATCAGGATGCCATTTCTGGGGGATAACATAAATTTTATAAAATAAGAACAACACACCAAAATCAAAATTAAATTAAAAAAAATTGTAATAACAAGAGAGAGAGAGAGAGAGAGAGAGAGAGAGAGAGAGAGAGAGAGAGAGAGAATGAATACCAAAGCAAGACGGATATAATTGGAACGAATAGATTCATCGGAGGCATCGTAATCAACCTCTAATATTTTATAATAATCCTACACCACCAAATTAATTCCTGCACTTATCAATGCTGCTAACAAAATTCTCTACATATATATATTCAAATAATAAAACAATTAAAATTGAGAAAACAATTGTTGTACCCTGGGTTTGGATAAAACATCGAAGAAATCGAAGTTTACATGAGGAGGAGGAGGAGAATCTTTGTTTGATTCTTCTTCGTCTTCAGCCCGTTCCAAATCGTACCACTCGTCCCACATCATTTTTCCACCGCCACAAATTTTTTTTTTTTTTTTTTTTTTTTTTTTTTTTGATTTTTGAACAGATTTTGCGCAGAAGATTTTGTAAAAACTCGGAACAACAACAACAACAATAAATAATTGGATAAGGTAGACTCGCTAATACGAGGAGAAGCCCACGCGAAACCCGATAGAAAATGGATTGAAAGAATGTTTTAAATGAAATTGATAAATTCGTTTAAGAAAATGGATTGGAAGAATGTGATTTCTAATTTTTGAATAAATGTGGACTGTGTTGTAAACCCTCGTGTGCTAAATTTTATTAGTCGTCTTCTCAAATATTATATAATTTTCTGAGATAATAATTAAATAATTATATTTTTGGTCCCTAGATTTACCACCTAATGAAATAAATGAAATGCTATTTACGGTTAGAAAATTGCTATTTGCGATTTATAACAAAAAAATACTTTATCTCTCTAAAACCCTAAAACTTTCCAAAAAAATCCAAAACCCCCCCAAACTGCAAATAGCAAAAAAAAAAAAAAAAATCGGAAATTTGAAATCAAGCTTGAAGGGTTGGGCTTCGATTTTTTGATGTAATTTCGACTCTTTTATGTGTAATATGCATTGGGTAGGTCGATTACATAACCAATTTCATGTTAAAAAACCCTACAAATCGATTTGTAGGGCTTTTTTTTCGCAAAAACATGTTGGAACGCCCAAGATGGGCGCCCAAGGCGTGTACGAACGCCCGGAACGGGCGTTCGTACCCCCTTGGGCGTTCATTAAAAAAAAAATGTTTTTGCACAGACGCCCAACTCGGGCGCCAAATGCAGTTTGCACGCCCAACTTGACGTGGCACTGCATGAATGGCGCCCAGTTGG